GCCTTATACTGTATGATAAAGACCCTACAATAAAAGAAAGAAAACCTTAACAATCAGATGACCCCCTATGAGCCAGAACTTTGCAACACTGGGAAGGAAAAACTTCCTTTTAATAGGGAAAAATCTCCAGTAGAAGTGGGCTCAGGAAGGTGCAGCCGTCCGGTTGGGGGTGAGGAGAAAAGAAGAGAGCAGACTGAGATAGGATAAAAAAAAACACACTGTAGAAGAGCGCCAGAGATTAATTATGACTAATAATGCATTGGAGCCCATCTACATCAGCAGGGAGTGTGTGAAGAGGGTGCTCAGCTTCAAGTTCCTGTGTGTGCACATGGATGCAGACCTCCAGTGAAGCTCTAACACCTTGGAGGTTATGAAAAAGGCCCAGCAGCATCTCACTTACTGAGGAGCCTCAGGAGGACTACCCTAAAGAGGGAGCTGCTGCTAACTGTCTTCTACCGCTACTCCACTGAGAGTGCGCTGACATATTGCATCTCTGTGTGGTTCTCGAGCTGCACCATGGCACACAGGAAAGCACTACAAAGGGTCATTAACGTCACGAGAAAAATCACTGGCCGCCCTCTTTCCTCCCTGAAGGACCTCTGCAGCACATGCTGTCTCAAAAGGGCACACAAGATCTTGCGGCACTGCAATGCAAATACCTGACACCGGGCCTTGTGCAATACACAGTGCACACACTGTATATTTCATTCTGCATATATGTTATTATGTATATATTGTGATTGCTGCTTGCCTTTCATTTAGCACCAATGCAGGACAGTAGTCCCATTTTGTTGTACTATTGTAGAAAGTAAAACTGTGCAATGACAATAAAATCATCTACTCAAACTGTAGCTATTATTTTAAAAAAGAAGCTGAAAACAGTATTGTTCACAACTGCTGTTAACAAATCAGGTAGCTGTGCCATTATTATTGTTATTTTTTCTATTATTCTATTTTACTCTTTTACTTTTGATTGTACTTTTGCCACAGAAATAAACTTGCCTTGGCTTTCATCAAAAATTGATGATCAGGATGCTAACAGTTGGATTAGATTATTGAATAATGATAACCACATGCAGCCCTAAATATCACATATGTAAAGGAACTCACTGCAGAAAGTTTTTGAAGGGATTATTTCTTTGCTATAAAGCAGTTTCACAGAGAATTCTTCGAACTTTGCACATCAAGGCCAGAGTAAGGGGGGAAACTGACTCGAGAAAGACACGCTGCTGCTAAATTTTTCAAATGCAATTCTTCAGTGCTTTAGGGTTACTGAACTGAATATTTCAAAACCCAGACACCTTGATCTTAAACCTGCTACTTGGCTAAACTTCCATACAGTGTAACTGTTGGTTAAAACAAATAAGCTTATACTTGCCACATATGTGTTTATGATTCATACAGGAACAATTTAGACAGACTTCAGTTTAGCTGACCTGCATGCCTTTCATGCCCCTAGGAAGCTTTCAAGAGCTGTAACAGCCTTGGGACTCTTGCATTTGTTTAAACTTCCTGTGTGGTAAAAAGCCAAAAACGAGATCCTTCATGCATTAGGTAAATGCATGTACAATAAATCACCGACAGGTGGCCCCCATACGCCATCAAGTAACAGGCAGTTTACAATAAGGACCACTATGGCCCTTCCTTACCCTCTGCCGTTCTCAACATCTCTGTAATCTTCAATGGCCAGGCGGAGTTTCCGACGATGCATCAAATTGCTGACACCTAGACCCAGCTCCAGGTCTTCATCCGTTAACCCCAGTAAAACCTGCAAAAAAAAGCAAAGAAAAAACACTTCACAGGAGGTTAAACCATTCAGGCGGAGAGTGCTATAAAGTCAAAAACAACATGGAAGCATGTAGAAACCTGCAGGTGTTGCCATACCTTGCCGCTTTTGACGTTTTCTGAGCAGGTGCGAATGTACATGGGCATCGCCATGACAACCTCCAGCCAGGCCTGCACGGTGCCTGCCCTCCACAGAGACATGGGCGTTGTCCTGGCCAGCTCCACCTGCTGCAGACGGTCGAGCTGGTCCTCTGACCCGTCTGACAGGCTGAGGCGATTGGGGCTGGAGAGGCTATCCGAGTCTGGGTGGGTGGGTAGACAAATGGGTGATGCGGTTGTGGTTGTGCGTGAAAGCAGAGGTGAGCATTGTGAGCAATGAAAAATAAAATAAAAACAACAACAACAACAA